TTTCATATAATATTTTAAATAAATTAATATAGGTGAATTGTATTGCATATTGATTCAATATCTTTAAATTATAAATATTATTTAATAAGTATTTTTAATTTGAAAATATTAATGAACATCTCTTACGTACCCGTGCATCGCACGGGATTCATACTAGTTTAATTTAAACAACATCACATTTTATTTGATTGCACCGAAGTATAAAACATACATACGTTATTTTTTAATTCATCTCTATTAGAATATCACTTGTAAGTTGCTCTACATTGTTCATACATGGAAAATAGATCCACCTTATAAGTCAAATAAGCTACTCTTCCTTCCACCAATTGGTTTTGGGATAGAACCGTACTTAAGCTTTATATGCTTTCCCTCTCATGTGCGCTTCATGTTAGTGGGATCGCACCCCTTTTCCCCTAGTTTCTTACAATCTCCATGTCGATTTTCTTTCATTTCATAAATAACGAGATGGTTTTTGTTGGGATAAAAAAGTAGTATTTTTTAAGAAATAGGTTGATTCAATTAACTACCATATTTTACTATTGGAAAATAAAATTAAGAAAAAGTTAATTATATAATTTAAATTCTTTTGAATAACATATTTTATGCTCTTCAAAATCCTTTTTAAAATTTAGAGTTGTTTTCTTAAGATAAATAAAAATGCTATTTTTTTTATGCTCGAATAACATCATGGCTCACAAATCAATATTTGATTTATAATTTGACGAAATTGTATTAGAAATTAGGGTAATATATGATGTTATTTTGTAAAACAAAATATTTTGACAAATCTATATATATATTACCAACCTATTTACCAAACATAGTAGTAAGAAAAGTCAACACACATTTAATGCATACCTTATTTGGAATTTTTTTACTATATGCATTAAATGCTTGCATATTTACATTTGTTATCCAGATATGATCTTAAAATTTTTTTCCTTAAATAATTTATGCAATGATTATATCCATTATAATTAATATTTGTCGAGTAATATTTTTTAACCTTTATTTAATTATATAAAATTAATATTTTTTTAAAAAATAATATTATTTATCATTTAAAAGATAATAATCACATCATTAAATGATTTTATTGATGGTTAGATAATAAAATTACATTAGTTATTCTTTAAAAATTTTACTAAAATAAAAACGGGCTTAAGAAAAAAAGATCCCATAACATCCGATAAGTCAAAAAAAGTACGTAAAATCTTTACTAAAAAAAAAAAAAACTTTATTTATTTGTCTTATTCCATAATAACATCAATTTAATCAAAACAAATCTCATAATCGGTGAAGTTAAAAAATGTACGTAAAGCCTATTTATACTAAAAAAAGGCAGATTCAAAATTCCTTGTCTAATTTTTGTTTAATGCATTTTATTTAATATTTATTTATATGAAATATTGGATAGGATTGTTGGATCTGAGTCAATTTTGAAATCGCGTTGTTTGGTATGAGAGGATTATCCGCATCCTATATCTGTCTAAAGCATATTATTTTATATTATTTAATTAATTTATTTAATATTAAATTTTTTTATCCATGATATCAGTTTTGTCAAAAAAATTGAACAAACAAACAAATAAAAAAGAAACGGGATTAATTGCCTTCTATCCGAATTAAAAACTTGGATTTTGGCTAATTTGTAAAATACATATGCTTGTGACACGACTTGTAAAAATTTATGGGTTGACGTAAATATTTAACAATGTTGTTTCAAGTTCTTTAAATAATACTATAACTATGATGTTGAAATATAATCTGTTTTATGAGTGACGTAAATATGCTGTTTAAAGTTCCCTAAAATATTTTTTTTTTTAAATTATGCTGTTTAAAGTTCCTTAAATATTAATATATTTAAAGTATACACATGTTGTAATATATTAAAGTCAAAACAATGTTGGAAGACTTTTGAATTATCTAAATTAATTAATTTAAATGTTTAATCCCATTAAATCTTCAATCCATGAAATATTTTTACTAATCCCGTGAGCATGTTGTTTTGTTATTGTAATCAACTTATACACTATTTTACTAATAAATTATTTAATATCTATGTACAAGGAGGTCTTTAATAATATATGATTTTTTTTTTGTCAGATACTATTTTATTGTATAATTTTCCTGCGTACTATAAAACTTTTATTGAATATTGCATCTTATAATATAATATTTCCTAAATAAATATATCCCGTGTCTCACACCGGTCCCGTACTATATATATCCCGTACATTTTTTATTCACTTATATAATTATAAGGCTGGATAAATAACCTTAAAATTATGCACCCCGTGCATCGCACGGGCTCTGAACTAGTATATATTATAATTTTATATTAATTCATTCATTAATAAATACTTTATCTAACTACTTATTTATATCCACGTGAATTCTGTGATAGAAGATTTATATGGCAAATATAAATATAAACTAGTACAACACCCGTGTATTACACGGGTGCTTGCTAATTTATTTTTCTTAAAATCTAAAATTAATGAGAAAAAGTAGTTTGAAAATTTAAATACCTTTTATAATAATATATATTATTATATATTTATTATGACACTTTTTATTTGTGCAACCTACTTGTGTTATATTATATAATTTTTTTTTTAACTTACAATATATAACTACATTACATATAGATATATCAATTGAGAAATAATTTTATTTTCCTAATGAATTTTGATAAATATTATTATTTTTTTATTATTATAAAGATAAATATAATTTATTTATTTCAT